GTTTTGAACATCCTGTTATGCCACACCAGTACTTGAACTCTTAAAACTGATTTGTGCAGCAACTTTTTGATACACCAGAGTTTTTAATGTGTCAGTGCTGACAGAGTAACACTTATGACGCGTGCCAGATGAGAATATATTGCAGCTTCCTTCAAGAATGCTTCTGGGAACCTGGGAAACGATGATGATGTTACCCATCTCCTTTATTAGATAGTTCTGTTTCCTCTTGACCAGGTCAACCTGAAGCTGCATAACTATATGTCCCACCAAAGGTGAAATGAAACGCACAGATTACAGAAATTATGGCAGTGCATGCTTTAACAGTGTTATCAGTCGTTCATTGGGTTTGGTAGGTTAAAAGTGCATTACTACTTCAGTGTTTTGGTTTTTTTTTTTTTTTTTTTTTTTTTACTACTTCAGTGTTGCATACTTTTTCTGTGGTCCAACCTTAAATCTTCAATCTAATCAAAATATGAGCTAAAATGTTGTATTTCCTTTAAGAACAATTGAATTTAAAAAAAAGAAAAAAAAAGGAAAAAAAAAAAAAGAAAATCAACCTTCACAGGCCTTTGGCTGTACATTTTTTATGCTACCCAGTTGTATGCAAAGTATTAGGCTAATGGATGACCCACCTGCCACTGGGACACCAACTTTAATACAAGAGCAGTAAATTAGCAGTAAATTTAAGTCAGAGTAATGAGTAATATTGTAAAGTAACCACATCCCATTACCAGTTTAAATTCCCTTTTTGTATAAATACATTTTATATAAATAGGTAACTGTACATACTTGTGAGTAATTTCAAACTAAATTTCTGTCATTACTGCGGCCCACCTGCAGAACCTTCATAGCCCACCAGGGGGCTCCCGCCAACACTTTGGGAATCACTGCTCTAGTCACTTAGACACTCCTGAAGAAACGCAAAACTACACATTAGCCTTGTTTAGCAGTCCTTACACTAACAAACTGGCTTTTCTTTCCAGAGTGTCCTGTCAAGCGATGACTTAAGCAAACTCAGCGTGGGTGAAGGAACTTCACTAGCTGATCAGGTGGCTCTCACTATAGGTCAGTACTTTGCCTAAGGGACACTGCTCATTGTAAAGCACTTTTCACACATGGGACATATAACACTGCAGTGTTAAAATTATGGTTTTCTGTTATTCTGGCATTTCACTTTCATGCTCACAGCTTAATAGAAATATAAGATGGAGAGAAATGTGGTGCACACTTAAAGTAAACTGCTCAAAAAATATGTTAAAAACACATCAGATCTGAATGGGGGGGATCATGTTGGATATCTATGTATCTATAAGGATGCCAAATTCTTTGATGGGAAGGAAAATTAGCAGCCTGCAGAGGGCTGAATTTAAAGGTGCCCTTGAAATCAAAGTGAAAACATTATGTGGCAGGCTAGTCTGTCTTACCAAAATTTTATTGCAGCAACTCAAACTGGTACTCACTAGTTTGAATGGCTCCCAGGTGCTTGTATTGCATGCCTGATAACGTGGGGACATGCTCCTAATTAGGAGTCCTGGGGGATCTCCTCCCAGATCTGGACCACAGCATCACTGAGCACCTGGACAGTCTGAGGTGCAGACTGGTGAGGTTGGATGGACCGAAACATAATGTCCTAGATGTGTTCTATCGAATTTAGATCAGGCGAGTGTGGGGGACGGTCAACTGTATCAAATCTTTCATCCTTCAGGAACTGTCTGCTAAGTCTCGCAACATGGCACCGGCCATTTTCATGCGCTTGGATGAACCCAGGATCCACTGCTCCAGTGTCGGGTCTGACAATGGGTCCAAGGATTTCAAGGATAGCTAATGGGAGTCAGGGTGGCATTCTCTAGCCTTTGTATACCATCACTGACCCACCACCAAACCAATCATGCTGAACAATGTTGCAGCCAGCATAATGTTCTCCATGGCTTCAACAGACCCTTTTGCATCCATCACACAAGTCTGTGCTCAGGGGGAACAGTTTCTAATCTTTGAAAAGTACAAGGTGCCAGTGGTGGACCTGCCAATTCTGGTATTGTTTGGCTAATGACAGTTGAGCTCCACAGTACTGGGCAGTGAGCATAGAGCCAGCTAGGGAACGTTGGGTTCTCAGGCCACCCTCATGAAGTCTGTCTCTGATTGCTCAGACACATTAACATTTACACCAGTGGCCTGCTGGAGGTCATTTTGTAGCTCTGGCAGTGCTCAAGTTCCTTCTTGCACAAAGGAGTGGAGACTGGTCCTGCTGATGGGTTAAAGGACCTTCTGCGGCCCTAGCCAACTCTCCCAGAGTAACTGCTTGTCTCCTGGAATCTCCTCCATGCTCTTGAGGCTGTGCTGCCACGCGGCGGTCCTTCTGGCAATGACGCATACGAGTGTACCATCATAGAGGAGCTAAACTACCTGTGTAACCTCCTAGGGTCCAGATATTGCCTCATATGACCATGTTAATTTAATGAACACCAAGCAGCTGAAACCGATTAACAACCCCCTCTGCTCTTGACTGACCAGATCAATAATATACTCTGATTAAAAAGTGTTCCTTTAACTTTTTGAGCAGTGTATGAAATATTGTAACTCTATACATTCAGACTTTGGCTGTTAAACTGATGCAGTAGGCTGGATGTTATTAGGCAGTTAAAGTTTTACAGAAAAGTTGCTAGGCTAGGTTGTTCATTCAAGTGTAAAGCTGACATGTTTAGATGCTGTCAGATTGTCAGGAAGGAGTGCACGCTGTTTTGGTTTGAAACAAAAAATGTAAATAAATAGAAATATAATCGGAACAAAATTTGAAATTGTCAAGTTTTTGAATTGTTGCTTAATAGCATGAAAATAAACAGTCTGTTGCAGCAGGCTTTGGTTTTATATCGGTGCCTCTTGCTCCTCAGGTCGCCTTGGTGAGAACATGTCTTTGAAGCGGGCAGTGACGGTGGGCATCCCTGCTGAGTGGAAAATTGGTTCATATGTACACGGCGGCATCAGCACCCAGACAGAGGTAGCCATGGGCCGTTATGGAGCCCTGGTCGTATTTCAGGGTGGAAAGGAAGGAGAGCAGGAAATGCTAGGTCGTAAACTGGGACAGCATATAGTGGGAGAGTCGCCTTTGTCTCTGGGTAACATGGATGACCTGCCCTGTGGCGAAAGTGAGACACGCCTGCTGCCTCAGACCTTCCTGGCAGACCCCAGCAGGACTGTGGCACAGTTCCTCAGAGGTCAGCAGGCTCGAGTGCTAGACTTTGTCCGATTTCAATGCGGCGAGACGACTGAAGACGCAGAATGAAGAGAGGGAAATTGTTCATCCAGCTGAATTTGACATGTCTTCATTTCATGTGTGAATATAATTCAGGTTTTTGTGTACTCTGTAAGACTGAGGCATCACAGTCACACAGCATCATGAATTTGAAAGAGTGTTCGCCCGCAAACACTGGTACCTGATGAAATGACCAATCCAACAATAAAATCTTTTTCCTGAAAAACCTGTCTTAGTATTTCATTTTATACACTATTCTGCATTTTAACACATAAATATACTTTTTTTTTTTTTTTTAATGAAAAGGTTTAGTGGTAATTATTTTCTTTATATATGACGAACCTCTTGCTTTGTAACCTAACTGAACTTACCATCCATCCATCTTCCGCTTATCTGGGGCCAGGTTGTGGGGGCAGCAGCCTAAGCAGAGAAGCCCAGACCTCTCTCTCTCCCCCAGCCACCTCCTCCAGCTTGTCCTGGGGAACACCATGGCATTCCTAGACCAGCCATGGGAGATTATCTCCAGCATGTCCTGGGTCTGCCCCAGGGCCTCCTCCTGATGGGACATGCCTGGAACACCTTACCCAGCAGCCATCCTTGTGAGATGCTCGAACCACCTCAAATGGCTCCTTTCAATGTGCAGGAGCAGTGGCTCTACTCTGAGCCCCTCCCGGATGGCTGAACTTGCTCTAAGGGAGAGGCCAGCCACCCTTCAGAGAAAGCTCATTTTCACCGCTTGTATCTGTGATCCCGTTCCTGACAAATTGCCCAACCTGTTATGCATCCTCATTGCAAAGAACAACATTTTTAGCAAAACCACTTTAAACCTTATCACTAAATTAGGTTAATTTATATAGTACCAAATCAAAACAACATTCATCTCAAGGTGCTTTATACTGCAAGTTAAAGCCAGTACAGTATTGTGGAGAAAACCCTAACAAACAACCCCCTTACGAGCAAGCACGTGAAGACGGTGGGAAGGAAGAACTCACTTTTGACAGGAATAAACACCTCAAGCAGAACCAGGCTGAGGGAGGGCAGCCAACTGCGACTGGTTGGGGATTGAGAGAAGAGAGAGTATCAGATGATGGGGCCAAACAGACTGAAGAAAATAAAAAAAATTTATGATATGCTTCAGTGAAGAAGTGCTCTGTGCACACAGTATATCAAATGCCTCATCAAAAACAAGCCTAGATCACCCTATAAATCATGTCAAAGTCATTTTATTGTGGTCCACATGCAGCCCACAATGATCTTAAGTGGGCTGCACCAGTAAAACGACATGATGAATTTGCAAAACTGGGGGGAAAAGCTCTGGCAGTTCAAAATATAAAGTTTTTATTAATTTACAGAAACGTTTACAGAGGTTCCTGTTAATAGAAAAAGCTATACATTCGTTAAGTGCTGTTGCTTCAATAAAAATAGAACTGAGGAATTTCACCAATTTGATAACCTATTGTCAGGGTAAGCAGATGCAATGTAGGCACAAAGCTGTCAAGCTGCCTGATTATTGGCTCTTCACTGAGCCCGGGATTAAAAAGCAGGCGGTGTTAGGTTAAGTCTAAAGGACAGCGTCATCTGTCACAGGTTTATACCATTAATGTGTGGCGATAGCAGGACTCAACGATGGGAATTCCCCGTTAAAAATATTCGATATTACAGCGTTCATGCAGTAGCTGTGCTTTACATTTGTGTGTTAATGTGTCGCATCTTATTTTTTCAGAAAACCGGAAGGGGGTGTGTAGCACGCGTGCAGGTTATGGCTCTGCAGCACCGTGCTGCACCACAAACGAGCTGCAACCCTGCAACTATGCGAGAAATGCAGCTGTTAAATGGAGGCATGTGATTGGCTGTTGCTGCCAAAGCAACGGTGACATCACCGGGGATGTACCACGCAGGAGCCGTTTGAGTCCTCGGAGCTCAGAGGAGGTCCAGCAGCTTGAGCCATCTGTCATCTAAACCCTCTAAAAAAATAAACATGGTAAGTCAAAGATTCCCGCAGAAAATTTTATGGAAATATCGGCATTTTGCTGTATTTATGGAAAATGATTTTACCATCTCATAATCCAGCCCAGGTAACGCTAAATGCGAATCTGCTAGCCTGCTTCACTCACTCGAGCCTTTAGCTCCGAGCCGTTTCTTGCCTGTAATTGATGGCATTGCGGGATTAAGTCATCTGTAAATCTCACTGAAGTCTCTGTCGTTTTGTCTCATCTAACTGTTTCTCCTCTCTCTCTGAACTGTGCCTCAACCAGTCCGACCTAACGGAGGACCAGATCATGGGTGAGTCTCATTATGAAAAGGTGTTAAAGGGGTTTATTATCCATAACATTCATCGGGTTAATGTAACCAGTACATATTTAGAAAGAAAAGAAGAAAGCTCTGACTTCTGGCCCTGTACTTGAGTAGGATCGCTGCAGGTAAATGAGAACTGCAATGTGAAAGTGAGCTAAATTTAACTCGCCTCACTGAATGGCATTCACTGTGGGAAACCTGAAGGCGCCTCACGACTCAAACTGGACAAGCGTTTAACTCTGAGTTCATCACTAGTGCTAACCTGCAAAACAGGACTTGGGTGAAACATGTTGATTTGTTTGCATGCTTGAGCTTTTTAAATGTGTGATATGCTAGCAGACACAATAACGACTCACATTTTTGTGGTGTAGGTGTGTCAAACGGCACTGAAACACAATTTACATTGTTTGCTATGGTACGTTTGCTTTGTAGTGTTTTTTTTTTTTGTTTTTTTTTTTAACAGAACAGAAATGCTTTTCATGCTTTTGTAATTTTGTGCTGCACACTGACCACTGACAGTGAGGAGAGGACTTGGTTTATGTGAAGCGTGCCAGTTTTTGATTCCAGTGGAAAAAACTACATTGTGTATTTTATAGTAATGAAATGCTGTGTATTATTTTTAGTGTAAGAGCACCATTGATTGCGAACAAGTATTTACAGCCGTGAGAATTTTATTGGCCCACTTGCTAACCTCTTGCTTTTTTGAAATGAAATGCACAGAAGCTGCTAGTGTTTACTGTCAAAACAACGTATGAAAAATCATGTTTTCCTTCCTACATACAGGGTATCAGTAAAGCTTTAGTGCACACGTCATTACCTGTGTCATGAAGGCCTGTCTGTAATTTTTGGGAACCTAACATGCTCTGCCGCTGAACTGGAGTTCTGCATTTGCTTTCCTTCTCACTAGAGTTTAAAGAGGCCTTCCTTTTGTTTGACCGGACGGGCGAGGGGAAGATCACCTACAGCCAGTGTGGCGATGTTATCAGAGCTCTGGGACAGAACCCGGTCAATGCTGAAGTACTCAAAGTCCTGGGAAACCCCAAGCTGGAAGGCTAGTGTCTGATTCACTACTCACAACAAAAGCAGATGACTATCACTGCAGCATTAGTTTGTTTTGGTTAAGAGTGTGGTCAGGTGTACAATTACAAGGTCTCGTTATAACCTCCGCAAAGTAGTACAGGTGATAAGTCACTGCTTAGTGGCTTACTTTGTCAGTGTAACTTGTAAGAGTCACATCTGAACTAAAACGCATGTCTGACTAAATTTACTGCTGTGTGCAAACTGAGTTTTGATCATAATAACAATGTGCACAAAACATTATTTATCTGATGCTACTGTTGGCTGTTCCCTTGCCCAAAGGGTCACCACAGCAGGTCCAAAGAAAGTGGCAGCAGAAAAAACATAGCTCTGCATGCAGATGAACAGGTTATTTGTGTCAGCCTTAAATATCATCTCCCACATCCATGTGACTGAACTCTGAATCATCACCATGAATGGGCAAGAAACAAAAGCCTCACAGAAAAACATCACAAAATTCTACTAAATTCAACCCAAAAACTCACATGATCTCAAACGTATTCACTTATTCACCTTCACCATTGAAGGCTCACTGTTGTTTGTCCCCCTGCAGAGATGAACACCAAGATGCTGGATTTTGAGCAGTTCCTGCCCATGTATCAGGCCATTGCTAAGAACAAGGACCAGTGCTCCTTTGACGACATTGTTGAAGGCCTGCGCGTCTTTGACAAGGAGGGAAATGGCACAGTGATGGGAGCTGAGCTGCGTCATGTCCTCACCACTTTAGGTAAGACCTGCAGAATACATGAAGTATTAGTCACGATCTATAAATCACAGTTGGCCTGCGTTCAAGTAGTTATCTGTGTAAAGGCTGTGCTTTCTGCTTCTTTCAAATGTCTATTTCTTAATTCTGTGCTTCAGTGCTAATATGTTCTTCTTTATCTTCTAGGTGAAAAGATGACAGAAGAAGAGGTGGAGACTCTTTTAGCGGGACATGAAGATGCCAATGGCTGCATTAACTACGAAGGTAGATCATTGTGCATAAAAACCTTCTTAACAACAAATAAGAATCTCCAAAAGTTTATTCTGTTCATCTGGCCGTAGCGTTTTCAGTGGGAGAAACGTTTCGTCACTCATCCAAGTGACTTATTCAGTGACAAATAACAAATAAGAACCAGTTTATATGAGGAAAAATAACACTACTGCCATTGATTTTTACCCCTGAGCTGTAAAAGGCTGATGGGGTATTGTCATTACCCCGCTGGGCAGGCAGGCGGCATGGACCAGTGGGGGAACTAGGGTGACACATCCCTCTTCAGTGAAGTATGTGGAAATCCCCTATGCATAAATGGAGTCAACAAAATGTCCACAAAAACACAATTATGGGGGGGCAGCTTTTAAGGACATAAAAGTTTCGCCCCTTGCGTGGACACCCAAGTTTGTGAATTCGGTAACTTAATAATAAGGCGACATAGAATTTTGAAATTATACCATCGGTTCATCAATTAAAAATCTTAGATGAAATCAAATCTCAAAGTCAAGTTCAAGTTTCAGTAGCTTTTGTAAATTTCTCACACGTAGCACAGGAGATCGTTTTACAGAGTGTTTGGTTTAGATGTGCTGTGGTGCCAGCTACACATATTTACCTGCTTTATTGTCACATAATCTTAGTGGGACTTTGCGCAGCCTTGTGTCAGGCTAAAAACTGCGTGATATTCATTTCATCAGAGTTGGACATTTGAGTTCTCAGTTGCAGCTTTGTTGGGTATTGCCTAGAATAGATTTCAGGCTGCATTGGATGAATGTAGGGCCGCTGTACACAGTGTTTTTCTGTCTACGGAGGCCCTGAGTCAAACACACTGCAACACTGAAATGCCAGCCGGCAGAATTGGGAAGAGGGGATGCACAAGTGAGAAGCTAGAAGTAAACTGCTAATGGTGTTATATGAATCATAAAAGACATTGCATATTCTGCATATTGTTAATGTCTCCCCAGACACAGTTCTGTCTTGTTTTGTGCACTTTTGCAGTGTTTTCTTAAGTTGCAGTGTTTGACCTCTGAGCCACTGTAGCTGTGCGACTGCCTCATGCTCACTGACTCCTGTCTCATCGCTTTTGTCCATCATATAATATCTGGTTGAACAGAGGGTAGTGAATTAACTTTTTTTTTTTTTTTGTTTTTTTTTTTGTTTTTTTGTTTTAATGAATTGTGATGTTAGTCTGTAGATATTGAGCACTGATGGTGTTCTCTGACCTTTAACCTTTCTCTCCTGCGGTGCTCCTCAGCCCCACCTAAATGTGGCCTGCATGTAGCATCCTTGCACACCTTAAGGCTGCTCCCATGTTTAACGCTAACGATTTTGAGAGGGGGGAAAAGGATTTCAGGGTGAACCAAGTGTAAACATGAGCTAAAATGCTGCAAACAGACACGAATTGTTTATTTTAATTTGTCTGCAGAACTCAAACATTTCTACCACACTTTTTTTTTCCTTCCCTAGCTGTTTGCCTTTTTTCATAAATCTAATTATTCTAAATAAATTCAGGCTTTTGATCCTATTTGCTGATATGGCTGGTTAGGAAATGGCTTATACCCGACTTTGTGTCTGTACTCTGAAATGCTGATTTTTTTCTCCATCACTCTCCACACAGAGCTCGTCCGGATGGTGCTGAGCGGTTGAGAACTTCCGAGGACCACTTCCAGATTATTTTCTCTGTTGTCTTGCCCTTCTATCCATGTCATCCCTTCCCCAATAAGTCTGTTTTGTTTCTGTGACATTTTTGTGCCTTTTCTGTCAAATGTGAAGAGACACTTTCACCTCAATTTCCAAACATTCACCTGCAGGCACAATCAGTAGTATTATCCCCCCGGATTGTTTAACTTTTGTCATCTTTATCTGTCTTGTCAGTTTTCTTGTGAATGGAAATAATAATGGGATTTCTGAAAGTTTGAAATAAAAATGCTGTTTTACAAAGTGTCATCAGGCCTGTGAGTCTGGTTAAAGTCGCATTACAAGCATGATGAAAAATATTTCACAATCATTTAAGTGGATATCAGATGATTTGTGTGTCGTGTCCTGAACTATATGAATTAGTGATGTTAGGTTTACACATTGAGCAAAAATAAAAATCAGTTGGAGATAATTGTCTGATTAGCTAATTAGATACATCTAAATAAAGAGCATCAGCCAGGCGATGCCTCCTCGAGGTCCACCAGGATATACTGTGCAGTCGTTCGTCATCAGATACTTTAAGTTAGTAAGTCAACAAACCACTCTGAACAATGTCTCCTCTTCACATCTTTATTTTTTCCCAAACATTTTGTAATTAAAACCAGTTTTGACATTTTTTTTAAATACAAACTGTCAGAATAACTGTCAGCACTAATGTGATGATTTACAGAGGAAACTTTTCTACTGTATAATAATCAATGGAACTGCTGCTACCTTCGGCATAGTGAAAAACATATAGAAACTGAACGGACACTTATTTCATATCACAAAATCCACACAATGTAATAATAACACAGATAAAAGAAGTCCATTTATGCTCACAACTGTGGTGAGGACTGCAATACTGGCTTGACGGACATCGACTGTAAAGTTTCACCATCTGACTGGATTATATTTCATGATACTGACATGATGTGCAGAACAACACGTGTTTCTTCTCGTAAGTTCTTCAAACAACAGATGGCACTGGAAAAAATTGTAAAAAAACAAAAAATAAAACTGAACGGTAACATGGTTTACAGATCCTAATGGCATGCGTTCACATACACACATGCTCACAGTCACATCTCAGACAGATCCGGCAGTCCTGTCCAAATCACACACAACTATGGAGAGGGTAAATATCAGTTACAAAGGTAATATACAGTTACAATGTTGACATATCAAAGAAAGAAGATGGCAAAAAAGAGTAAAAAATATATATAAATGTATAGGATACAAAGTGAGGATATTGTTGCAGATATTAAGGACACGATTCTCCATTGTCAACTGTTTAAGGTGCTCCCTTGTGTTTTTACAGCGTCAGCATTTCTTACATCTTTAAAGCGAAATGCACCAAGCTGCTTAAAAACATCCTCCTCACTCACCAAGAAACCACAATGAAACTCACTGAATAAATGTATGATAAACATGATTAGAAAAAACATTTTGGCTTAGCAGTTTACACAAAGTCCAAATCCAAATAAACGCGTGCGTGGTCGCTAACGGTATTAATCCCAGACTTTCTTTTCAAACAGAATTACATTCCTCACAAAAACCACAGCCTGGATGCTTCAAGTTCATTTGCACTTGCAAAACACAAAACGCCACGGTCACGTTTTTCTCTAAGTGCTGTTGAAATGTGGGAGGGAGTAACCTCCTATAACAAAAAGAGGCCTTTTCAAGACCTCAGGTTGTCATTACTTTCAAATAGTTCCCATATTATTATTAGAGTAACAAGAGAGGTGTTTGTAACAGAAAATCCAGTTTACAGTACACTTTTCCCAAACTGCATCCACTCTGCGTTAAATTTCAGTGTGGCATCTTTTGATTAGAATCGTCTTCATTCCTTTCAGACTTTATACGGGTTTTAGAAACATGACACAATTGAAAACAGAGAAAAAAAAATCATTTTCCCAATTAGCTTTCCAAAACTGTATTTAAGACAAGAAAGAGATCATATAAGTGCTCAAGTTCAATTTCATGGTTGCTTCAAGTCTTTCAATGCGACCTACAGAAACATATTAAAAGTGCTTTTGTCTTACATATATTTTAATTAGTACCTACAGTACGAGAGGGGAGGGGGACGCTAGAGAGCGTAGGAAGTACGAGACTTCACTAGCTGTGACAAACTGTTGCAGGAAAATAAATGCAACAATTTCCAAAACACTGAAAACATGAGATGAGTCTTTTCTCTTCTTCTCACTGAGTGCCAGCATGTTGATAAGACCATCTAAGCTTACCAGATCTCCTGGTGTCAAGCTTAAAATTCCAAAGTGAGACGCAGTCGAACACGCAGGATGAAAATCTATTTTCTTCATTAGTCGGTTCAATTTGAAAAAGGACTTCTTTTCTAACAGAGAGTCAAAGGCGGATTGATATTGGCGTTTCTTTTTCTTTCTCAAATCAATTGTCCTCTTGAAAACACACAAGCAAACAAAAAAAGAAATAGAAAATGTAAAATGAGTTCTATTCCTTCGGTTGATGACTTCTTCATTTTAGATAATACAGGCAGGATTCAAAGTGGTCAGAGTCATTCAGATTCTCAGGAAATTTGCTTTTTCTCACTGTGGAGGAGGGACCGGAGCTGAGGGGTGGAGTGTCTCTCCGGGGAGAGGGGCGGTGGGCTCTGTGAGGGGGCAAACAGGAGAAAAATGTTACGTACGATTTGTAACATAGTATCATTAATTTATTAAATTTAGTCATTTATATTCACAAAATGTGAATTATGCATAATATATTATAATCTATGATATAATCATGATATATTATAATAGTAGACTAGAGTCGTACTCCAAACAATACTATAACACTGATGTGTACTTGTGAAATAAAAGAATGATTGATCTTCTCCGTGTCAACCTTAGATTCTTCAATTCAGAAATAACTCAAGACTGTGTTGTTTGAAAGCTAGGTTTCAGAACATTATAAGTCGTCCCAAGTCATGTTGGCATGAAATGTTTGGTATTGTTTGATCATTTGCATCATGCCAACAGTATCTCACAATCAAGACAGTGAGAAGTCCTGTTTTAATGAGTGAACTCTGTTTCAGCTTTTTGGTCTTGGTTAATAACTTGTTGACAAAGATAAGATAAACTGCAGCTTTTAACTGTCGTTACTGCACCACTGCACAATTTCATGTATTTCACACACATTCATATTATTGAGTTTGCTTCAAGAATAAACATGTCTGTGAACATGTCCACAACTAATGAATGTAATAATTATAAATAAATATTACAACTACGGTGTACGAGGAACTGACAGCAAACGTAAATGTATCAACTACTATTAAAGCTGCTACCTCACCATGGAGTACAGATGTAGTGTTGGAGCTGGAGTGAGCAGCTGGGGTCTGACCCGGGGGACAAGGTGGCGAGGTGTGAGCGCTTGGTGGTGGCTGGGACTCGGGAGCTGGGGCTGAAGCGGCTGGTGGTGCTGGGCTGGGGGCTGGCTGTGGCGCTGGTGTGCTGGGAGCTTGCTGATTTGCGGTCAGGGCTTGAGGTGCCGGGGCCGCGGTGGCCTGAGTGGAGTGAGGGCCCCCTGCCTGGCTATGTTGCTGGTGCTGAATCTGCTGGAAGTGCTGCTGGCGAGCCCTCATCTCAGCGTATTTCAGCTGCTCCATGTGGAAGGACTGACGGTCAGCCAGCAGTTGCTGCCGCTGGTACTCCAACTGCTCAGAGACAGACAGACATGTCTATGATTTAGGAAAACAGCATACTATACGCACTGCATTGAATGTAACTTAAGAATTTTCTTATTTTAATGCTACATATCCTTAAATTCCCCACTCACAGCCTCCCGCTCTCTGTCCATGATGGTTTCCAGCTCCTCAAAGTGTCGCAGTTTAATCTCAAGCTTCTTCATTTGAGTTTCCACCAGCAGAGCCACCAGAGATTTGATCTTCCTCTCTTCCACTGCAGCCAAATGCTGTGAGGAGAAAGAAGAAGAAGATTAGAGAAAATAAAAACCAAAAAAAGCTGAAGATTGAAGATACGACAAGTATCACCTTGACTCAATGAATTTTACCTTGGCCTTGACAGCAGCAGCTGCTAGAGCGGAGGCAGCAGCAGTGGCCAGGTTCCCCTCTCCCACATCACGCTCCACCTTAGCTTTCCTTTCTCCTTCACTTTCCCCTTCCCTCTGTCCCTCCTCTGTTCCCTCTTTTCCATCCTTCTCCTTCTCCCCATCACCTATGAGAAACAAAAGTTTAATGTTTTTCACTGTTGACCAAAACCTTTATGTCTGCAACGTCTTATGAAGACAAAAAACCCTTTTGTACCCATCTCAGACTCTGTTTTGTCTGCCTCCCTCTCTCCTTCAGGTTCTCTTCCTCTTTCTTCTTCCTTCTTCCCATTCTCTGCCTGCTTTTCCTCTTCCTCATTCGCTCCATCTTTAGTCTCCTGTGTGGCAAAGTAAACAGCACAATATGATCCACAGAACTTTTACAGCAGATATATATATATATATATATATATATATGTTTATAAAATGACATTCTATTATGTTACAGTGAATTCTCATCATACCTTGGCCTCTCGTTTCTCCTCATTAGACTGGTTGTCACTCTTGCTTTCATCACTGCTTTCATCTGTAGAGAAGGCAAGCCACAACCTTTCAATGCGCTTTTTCTGACTACTCAACTTTTACAATCATTATTTTTAATTTTCTTTGTAGTGCAGCGTTCCAAAATTTATACTGTGTGCATTTATCCTACCAGGCCTCTCTCCCTCCTCCAGGCCGGTCCCTGCGATGCCACTGCCTTCCAGGCCATACAGAGGGTCCTGTCTGCCGCTGACCCTCGCTGCTTCCTCCACCCGCCGCACATGAGCCTCCACAAGCGCAGCTGGAACCTCCTCCTTCATACGCGAAAACTCCTCTGAGCAGGGAGCGATAAATCACAATTAATGATGTGAAGCAAAAACAAGGACACTGATGGATTAGTCACCTCTAGTAGATTGAAAATGAACAAAATCGTTGCCTGAACAAAAGCGGTCTTATGAATGGCATGTACAGACATTTGGAGCTTCAATGATACAGGATTTGGTCAAGTGTTGGAAAGGTGTTGTTTAACATTTAATGGTCTCACTGTAGAAAATTAAAATGTATTTTGCTGTCTTCATTTTTATCCTATTGGATTATTTACTGGTTGATGTTTTCAGTGCCCTGTTGCTTCCTCTTTTTCCCATTCAGGCACTTACTATTAGCTCAAACTGTAACAACACAAAGAGACCATTTTTGTTTTCTACAGAGTTGGGAAATTTCAAATG